ATAGTTATATATATATATACATAGTTATATATATATATATACATAATTTAGTTTTGGTATATATAGGTATATGTATACATACATGTTTTTGTTTCCAAGTTTATATAAATATGAAATTACATCTTTCATATTTATTGTTTTGGTTTTTCAAGTTTAAATATGAAACAATTGAATATAATTGGAAAATATATTTTTGTTTCATGTTTATATGCTTACATATATAGTTATATATATATATACATAGTTATATATATATATATACATAATTTAGTTTTGGTATATATAGGTATATGTATACATACATGTTTTTGTTTCCAAGTTTATATAAATATGAAATTACATCTTTCATATTTATTGTTTTGGTTTTTCAAGTTTAAATATGAAACAATTGAATATAATTGGAAAATATATTTTTGTTTCATGTTTATATGCTTACATATGATTTCATCAACAAGTATTTTTGTAAAAATATTGTTTTCTTGGTTTATAGACTTAACAATAATCATATATATCTTTTATTAAGTCTACAAAATCATTTTGTAATGTTTCAAAATATGGTTAAGCTAAAATGTCAAAACTCATGTGTTCATATTTTCATGTTTTGAACTATTTTGCAAAATGATGATATTTCTCATTTCAGAGGTCCTTTTTAAAAACCATTTTTTGTAGCATGTTTATTATCATGTCTACAATCATCTCCCAAAGTTTTATAATTTTTGAAATTTATTTGATATTTTTTAACATGGTTTAAAGTTGAGTTTTTCTGTACACTTCAGGTCTGTGCATGTTTAGTCGACTCATTAGTCGACTCATGAGTCGACTCATAAGTCGACTCACGAAGTACAGCGGAGTTATGATTTTTTGTCTGCTGAGTCGACTCATATAAGTCGACTCATAAGTCGACTTATCAGAGAGTCGTTGCACAGTAACGACTAGTTTCCAACAGTGTTTTCTGGGGGCTTTTTTGTCTCTTCAGTTGGGTTTTGGCTGATGTCTTGGGTTGTTATAAATACCCCCATTGCCTTCAGCCCTTTAAAAATCCAAGAGAATGTTTTAATAAAGTTTTAACAAGAGTTTAAAGTTTGGTTTAAGTTTGTTTAAAAAGCTTTTAAGCATTTTCTAGTTTCAGTTTGTGAAGAGAATTTCACAAGAGCAAGTGGAGATCATCATTTGGTGTTTGAGCAGTCACTCTTCTCTCTCTTTCTTGTTATCATCTAGAGAAGTTTTCCTAAACTCATTCTAGCTATTTATTGTTTTGTTTCTAATTTCCATAAGCTAGATT